ATTAGATAGCATGATTCTTGGAACAAAATCATACATACATACATACAGATGAAATTTTTAGGTCAGAAGCATAGTATCCAAGTAGTCACAGCAAAGAAAAAGTAGCAGATCCAGTAAAACAGAAGGAAGACTTACAAAAATACCTTAAATTCAACGAATTTAACAAAATTCAAAAGGAAATATCTAGGGCTTCGATTCATTTGAGAAGGGTTATGTGAAGGTTACTCTAAAAATGTTTGGCACATTATGTGAAGGTTACCCTTTAAAGGAAAATATGAGACCTGGCAAAATCTACCCCTTTATTCTTCATATCTTTTTCTCTTAATCCATAAAAGGAAACATATTTAAGGAAATGAAAATCTTTATCCTGAAAAGCTGTTAGGGTTGGAGAGAAGCAGCAAAGGAAAGAAATAGAGATATTTTAAACTAAATCTGGAAACAAGAAATACCATCTTTTTCATATATTTGAAGTAGAAAATTTTAAAATCTTTAAAGAAATTAAAGATGGTATATATATAATCATGAACACACCAGGCTTTAAAAAAAAAAGTCATGAAAAGAAAAAATGGACAAACACTTCCTTCCCTACTATGGAGAGTTTGCTAATTATAAATTTGACCTTTCATTGCTTCACAAAGCATAAGCTCTGAAACTTGTTTTGAAACTCCAAATGTTTCGTAGTTGAAGGGGGAGAAATATGAAACCAAAACAGAAGAAAAACATATTTGGGAAAAACTCAGCTAAAGAGAGAACCCATTTTCAAGACCAACTCATGCATAAAAGATGAACCACAAAATGAAGAAACAGAGGAAAATGAAGAAACAGAGGAAACAGAGGAGGATGAGGAGGAGAACACCCAAAAAAAGAAAAAAAAAAAACCCAGATACCCACCAAATCTCACAGTTCTGAGTTGCAGACTGATAAGCAAAGATGAAGAAGGAAATCTCTGAGAATTTCTTCTACATATGCATCAATGTCTCCAGCTTTGACACTGTTTGGAGAATAGAAGAAGATATTCTGAAAGCACAACTCAAAAAAACTGAACAGAAAAATGGATGAGGCTTTTTAAGGGAGCACTTCTGTGTTCTGTTCTGTTCTGTTTAATTCAATACCCCCTCACTTGAGTATTATATAATGCAAAATTTTCCACTTAAATATGTCAAAAGACA